TATTCATACAGCTCAATCGATATGCGATCATTATTTTGTGCATAATTCTACTATTAGTACTTTTGTTCTTGTATTTTTTACCTACTGCTGCATCCTGCTACAATCCTTCGCGCACGACGCCCCTCTCACCGCGACGCAACCATTTCGTTCCTAACGCACCACACCCGACAATGAGGCACTATCTCACAGCGATCGTCACGGGTTCAAATCCCGGATCGATATTCGCCCAAACCAACCAGGCCTTCCATCCTCCGGGGTTGGTAAATTGTTACCAGACTTGTCGAGGACGATAAAAGCCCTGACTTGTTCATCGACTGGCACCGCAAGTCATTGTATAAGCCACATACGCATTCAATATGCCACTACGACTCTGAATGGAAGTCGAATGAAGGGCGCATCACTCATACGGGTTGATCAACGCTAAATGACTTTATACTTTTATTTTCATTCTAAGCAACAACTTTTTGTGACAGACTCATGACAATTAAAGAGCCTCTTCGTTTACAGTCGTTCTGAAACAGTCTCAACCGTTTACGGGACCTTAGCTTTTTCAAGTTCGCACTCAAAATTTATAGAAATGATGTTTTCGCGATGCGCACCACGGCTCTTTTCCTTATATTATCTCTCTCTTGTAAGTTTTTTAAAATTTATCCTACTAGAAGAGAGCATGTTATCGCGGCTCACACCAGTGACGTCGCGTACCCTCAGTATTTCTTCCGTTCTCGCCAGCCCTTCACAAAACGCGACAGCATCGGCAATCAGAACTCACAGACTACCAGGAGAACGTGTAAGTCAATCTGCCATATGAGACTTTTTCGATTGCACACATAAATCATTTCAGCATCCACTGGCCAAGTATGGAGGCCGCCATACGGTGACCGCTCTTCCGGGAGACGGTATCGGACCGGAAATGATCGACCACATTCGGACCATTTTCAAATACTGCCATGTAATCATCGGCGATTCGTAAAAATCCTAAAGTGTAGCATTTAGTTTTTGTTCTTCAGGCTCCCATCAATTTTGAAACAGTACAAGTCAGTTCAAATCTGGTCGAAGGAGATCTGGAAGGAGCGATTATGGCCATCAAAAGGAATGGAGTCGCATTGAAGGTACCTACCGAAAAACTTTGGTCGCAGAATTCTGGAAGACGACCTGAACCCGTTGAAGTATGGGATACATACATGGCTGTGGAAACTTCGTCATGCTTTCACAACTGGGAGAGTCAGTTGTACCCGACCTATTTTTCTAGCTCCCCAATCCTATGTTTTACTCCTCTATTACTTTACAATGCCTCATTCCTGGTCTAGCATTTGGTAAAACAGAGGACTGGAGAGCTTAACACATGGGAAAGCACCATTTACCAACTTTTGTTTTGGTTGATACTTGATCCTGACTTGGGAAAACAGTGGTGTTGAAGATGTGAGAAGGGAACCGGTCCACCACCAACCGAGGGGATGATGAGGGTGTAGAAAGAAGGCGATAGCGTTTGTAACAACGTTAAATATTTGACCGTACAGCGTTAGGCTGAGACATGCATTCAAATTCGTCCGCAATTGCGAAGACAATCAAATGGGGTTTTAAAGGGTCGACAATAGGTCATAATTCTTTACTAACAATGCTCTCGCCTCAATGTTTCAGGGTAACATCGAGACGAAACACGATAACCCCGAGTTCAAATCCCGAAATGTTGAACTACGCACGAGGCTCGATCTCTACGCCAACATCCTCCACTGTGTCTCCATTCCTACGATACCTACTAGGCACAAGGTGAATTTCCAGTAACAACTTCTTCCTTCCGCATTATAATATAACTCAGCAGACTCATTTGTGTCCTTTCCCTTTCCAGGATATCGACATAGTGTTGATTCGAGAAAACACAGAAGGCGAATACTCTGGTCTCGAACACGAAACGTTGCCGGGTATTGTCGAGAGCATAAAGGTGAGTGAGAGTCATGAGTTCAGAAAAAAGCGGTGGGTGGCATTATTATGTGTAATGCACGCGGGATTCCTGGCCGATTGGCCAGCAGCTAAGGGAGAAGAGGAGGCGGGAAGTGTCCGGGCAACGTTTTTTGAGTAGCCAGTAATTTGTAGTATACGCTCAGGCCCAATCTACGTGGCTGGTGCAAGCTTTTCACTATGAACAGTATAAATTTTTCTTTGATTCTTAGGATTTACGTATAAGTACGAAAATGAGGTTGCTGCGATGAGATAGGGTTTAGTTTTCGAGAAACACGGCTGGTTATAGTTGGTAGTACGTCCAGCAAAAGTTCAGGCCTGATTCGTGAAATACCACAGTGTTGAAATCCCTCGGACTGCTTCTGGTAAACTCGGAAGTTCAAACTAGAGTGGATAGTATCATACTTGATGCAGATTTGCTGAAAAACGAGGAGAGAGCTTTCCCTCCACTCACACCCAAGAGAGAAGTCAAGAAAACTGATATCTTGACTCAGTCCCAGCCTCTCACCAACAGCTTCCTCCAACAGTTTTTCGATTCAGATTGTGACCCGTCGCAGCATTGATAGAATCGCTCGTATGGCTTTTGAATATGCCGCATTGAACAATCGCAAAAAAGTGACGGCTATTCACAAGGCGAACATCCAGAAACTGGGAGACGGCCTCTTCTTGCAGGTGAGTACCCAAGAAGTTGAAGTACATAACTGAACAATTGGGGAGAGATTTAGTTTGATTAGATGATTCAAGGTGTCTACGGGTTACCGCAAATGGTAACTTCTGCTTTACAGCACCTAAAAATCACAGAAAAAAAGTAGCATCTCTCCCTTTCAGTTCTTTCGGTCCTTGTGGGTGGTCCAAGTTACTGCAAAGGACTAGATGAAAGAGCCTGAGCATTTCTGCAGGGGAATAGACTCTGGGTTCCGAACAGTCCACCGCCAGTTCATCTCTAATCCTTGATTAATCGGCAATAGCGAATAGAATCTAACTGGGAATTATGTACGTAGTCCATACGGTGGGACAATTGTGGTGATCAACCCAAAAAAAAGTTTTGCCTTAATTTGAGAATTTTCCCAAAGTTCTGCCTAGAAGTATAGCCGGCTACAGCATCGGTAGAAAAGTGAATTTGAAAATGATTCAGAAGCATTCATTCAACTTAGCAAGACTGTTATTCCAAGATTCTCGTTAAGAAACATAATTCTCTCCCAGGTTACCTTAGGTTGTGAAAGAGATGGCCAAATCGGACTATCCACAAATCGAGTTCGACTCAATGATCGTCGATAATGCCTGCATGCAACTCGTACGTCTTTTCCTTCGGATTTTCTCACACCGAGTAATAACATCATTCATTGTAGGTCTCTCGACCACAACAGTTCGATGTTATGCTGATGCCGAACCTTTACGGAAATATCATTTCGAACATCGCTTGCGGACTTGTTGGAGGTCCTGGCTTGGTCTCTGGGATGAACATCGGTGAAGAGTATGCCGTCTTTGAAACGGTACGTTAAATTAGCCTTTTAGGGTGACCAGAGGGAAACTAGCATTTAGGGGCTCCAGGAACTCTAGAAATGCCAGCACAGTAACCCGTCTTGCTCAAAAGATATTGATTTGTTTCTCAGGTGGTCCCATAACATACTGTACAGGTACTGCAGAGTTGGGTTGTTTCCATGATACTGAAGACAAATGGGAAGCAAACTTTCTGGAAAGTTTGATTAAAGGCAGGCCTTAGACTATTCGTCTTTGATTTCCTCTGAGCCCATAGCTTTTTCTGCGACGATGTCCGGATGTCTGCCTACCTGCCAAGCCGGATGTCTGCCAAGTTTGGGCTTTCTGCCTTTATAGACAAACGATTAAAGACTGAAGCTTATAGAATAATCAGTATCGTGCAGTCGTTGTTTGCCCAAAGGATTAATCGTGCTAAGATGAAAGTGCTGCAAATGACTTAATGGGCAGAAATAAAATGTTCCTGGTGAGGTTGAAAATGACCCAAGAAAACTGATTGGTCCCTATAAACAGACGATTCCGCTACCTTCGTTAAATTTGGTAAAAAACCCGAATTTGCATGAGAAATTTCCACCAACTTCGAAAGAAAAGTGACGAGTTCGAAGTGTTCAGGACTTTTTGGAAAAGGAATAACTGTTTTTAAAAACTCGTTCTTCATTTCAAACCAAATGCTCCTAATAAGAAAATCCTCTCCTGTACCTCCAGCTTCTCTGCCTTCATTTTGACCTCAACTTATCCACTACCTCAATAACGACTAGGAAAAAGTGAAATTCTTAAATCCTATTGCAATATCAGACTCTTTAGGGCACGCGAAATACGGGTACATCACTGGCTGGAAAAGATCTCGCCAATCCTACAGCATTCATTCGAGCCAGCGTTGACATGCTCAGGTATGCATTCAGAAACTCGGATTAGGGAAACTGCTCAGAGACTTGGGCCACGGAAGCCATTTCGATATAATACTTGGACTATCAAATTCACACACATACAGCCATCGTCGTATGTTAAGTGCTTTCCCGAACTCATGATGAAAAAATTAGAACCGCTGTTTCAGGTATCTTGGGTGTCACCAGCATGCTGATCTCATTTCGGATGCCTTGTGGAAGACTTTGGTAGAGCAGAGAGTGCACACCAGGGACGTTGGAGGCAACCACACGGTCAGGACAACTTCGTGTCTATCTCATTTATAAATTTAAATCATTTTATAGGCTTCCGAAGTGGTTAACGTCACTCTGGAGAACATCTCTACCATGATGCGGTAGAACTCTATTGGCCGTTTGCGGGATGACTCATAGACATGTATGACTCAGGCGTTATTTGTATAATAATTATCTATAGGAAGTGATCCTTTGATTCGTGCTCAAATACATAGTTGAGAGAACTTTGTAAATAAAAACGTATTGATTTCGGCAAACGAATAAACTATACATTGCATATTCAACAAGCTTACAAACGATTGGAACACAATGGAAATAATGGAATGAAAGGCTATTCGATATCGAACGACTGAAAATTCGCTATCTACAATTCGCTATTCATCTGCTTCGTAACTATGCTTCAGAATCCTCAAGAGCCCAAAGTGTCTATTTTGATGCAGAAAATCAAAAAGACGTCATTAAAAAGACTACAACGGTCAATAATGTATTGTAGTGACACGCATTTCACTGAGGAAGTCTTCCAGACCATGATTTTAGCGAAATATTGCGATATGGTGGGGAAAAAGAAAATTTACGCTTAACGGAACGAATATCTCTGAATGCTCTAGCTACGTGTACCTAGGTCGAGAAGTCAACACGATGAACGAAATAGCTCGGGAGCTGAGCAGAAGGAAACGCGTCGCTTGGAGAGCGTTTAAGAATATCGAGGGAGTAGTAAAGAAGACAAAGAACATTCGGCCTTTTCCTTTTCGACAGTGCTGCCCTGCCCTTCCTGCTTTGACGTACGCCTCGGAGACTCGGAAACTCGAAAGCAGGATGAGCATGCTGTCAGCCTTATTCGTTATTATGCTCGGAATTTCCCTATACACGCAAGTGCTGAAGGGAATCTAGAGTTCCGAGCTCCGTCAACGAGCGAAGATCAGGGATGCCGTCGCGATCAGGTGGGTCGGACACCATATGCGATTTCGTTATGACCATTACATGAGGGCGATTACGGACTGTATCCCCCGGGATGTCAAACGAACACCAGGACGGCCACTGGTGCGATTATCAGACTTGTTCACGAAAGCTATGAACGAAAGGAATGCTTTGCCGCGTTTCCCTCAGTAAGATTCACTGGACCACTCTGGCTCGCAACAAGAGAGACGGAGTGGTCCAGTGAATCGTACTGAGGGNGGGCTCGAACGGAGACGTTACTGACGCCCGTTTGAGGGAATCGATTATCAACGGGATGACAGGTGATACAGGTGGTACACTCCGAAGGAAATAATAGGTTCGCTTCCTCGAACCTAGCTATCACAAGAGACGAAGACCGACATGAAAATCTGAAATTCCACAACGACTACTTCTTCCTGTGCATGTTTTTGTTCGACATTCGACAAGGAATGTTTTAAGCCCCTTTACTGATTCCGATGAGAATTGAACCCAATTAAACTATTCTTCGTACTGACCTAGCAATGACCATCCGATCAACGGCATTTATGATGTCCTGCTGATAGGCCTACAAGTCACAGGGCGGAGGACAATCAACTTACAACGAAACAAAACTGGTTGACGAGCAGATTCAGAAATACAGAAATAATTCGAGGAATGTAGAAATGGACTTCAAACTTTTGTCGTTTCTTCAAGATCTGCATGACCTTACGCCATTCCACTGCTATTTATTTATGAGATGCCATTATAAAAAAGATTGATAAGGGTATCAAGGCCAAGGATGCCTTTAACGGCCACGTCACTCGATGCTCTGACTAATTGACACCTATGGACATCCTTTGACTCTTCTGTGGTGAAATAATATGGAGTGATAACATCATTCAGATTGTGGTATTGGGGCTTTCTCGACTGGGAGCTTTTGATTTCACTTCGAGCAATCGTTCGCGAAATCAAACAATAACCAAATGGGAGTTCAAAGAAAGTCAGAGGAGATCCACCAAAAGCGAGTAACAGATCAAGGATATGAGGAGGAAGCAGCCACTGATCTTTCTTAGAACTGCAATATATCTATCCGTAGAACGTGCAATATTAGAACCCGCATTACGGTAAGTTGATAAACAAAACCTGCCCATTATAATTACATGATTACTTTTCGTCCATGATATACTTCTCTGAATTCTGCAGAATTTGTTGCCGTTCTTCCTCGATTTGCTTCACCGTATCTAATTGGTCTTCCCACCGGTCCATCTCAGAATCCTTGATCATCGAACAAAATGATGTCAATATGGCCTAAAACGGACTATTTTCTTAGCATGCGACAAATTAGGAGAAAAAGATAAACTCACTTTCGGTTCACAAACGAGAATCGCACGAGGCCCCCAGTCATAGGTGATCATCTGAGTTTCGCTTCTATCCGATGATTTTGCAAACGAAATATATCCTAAGTGGTCCAGACAATGAGGAAACAATATCTTCCCAGGTTTAGGTGAGTAAAATAAATAGATTAAAAACTAACCATCATGGATGAACTCGGCGGTATGGGAAGGAGAAATTAGCTTTTTAATGTCCCCAAAGACAGCATCGGGAGTATCATAAGAGAGACCGAGTGATTCCTTATGAGCAAGGTTTAGAAAGTTGAAAAACAGCGAATAATCAATAGGATGAATATAACACGAAAACTCACTAAGAATTTCAGAAGCATAGGTTCCGTGATGCAGGTAATGCTCGACTTTCTACTTTTCGATAGGAATATAAACATAAGAATGGCCGAGAGCAAACCTTTTTTGGCCTCCTCCTGAAAGACCAAGCTTCATAATAATTATTCACTTTTCCCAGAAAATAACTTAACAACACGTCACCATAGTATCGACTGTACAACTTTCTTGCGCAGGCGTCATTCGAATAACATGGGATTGATTGGCTCGATGTACGACCTGAAAAGTCATAGTGAGATCGCAAGTCAGTAGTAGTAGGAACGCTTGAAGACTGGAAGCATCAAAGCCATCAATTTCTTATGATTACCTTACAGCCAAATGAACGTTGGAGAGTATTGCTCGCCTCCCTCAATACATGGCAGTATTCTCTCTTGGAGAAGAAATGTTGTTTCTGAGCTAACGCATCTTTAAGGGCTCCATCTTTCTCCTGAATCAGGAAGCGATATAAAAGTTCCAGAGGCTTGAGTAGACAGCTAATATTCTTAAACCACATACGTTTGACGATGCATAAAGCAGATGTCGAGCAAGATGGCTGACCTTGGAGACCCTAGTTGCGTGTGACAAGCCCTTAAATAGTTGACTTAAATGCAATTGCCAAAGCAAGCAGTGTAAGTCCGTCATCTGACCAACTTTTTGTCCATATAGGATAATACCAATAATTGCTTGCCAAATCTTGGAGCATGGCTTCGCCTGAGTTAAATATGGCAGATGCTCAACAGCTCAAAAAAGCTCAACGATCTAGGGAATTAAAAAAAACTGAGCGTGAAAGATGCCCTCTTGTTTTTGGAACCTAGTCGGGAACATATTCCTATTGAGCTGTACTAGAACCCCGTTAATTACATTCCTCCTCCCCCCCCCCCCCCCCCCCCCCCTCCTACTTCCTTGGGGCCTAGGTTTTATTTCTTTTGTTGTTTGAAACTTGAATCAAATCTCGGTTCTGGGGAAAAGCTTGTCGAAATGTACTTGGGGGAGGTGGTCTAGCGCTAGAGCGCAGATAAGGTGGCGCAGGGATTTCACTTTAACTGAGGGACAGTTCCCAGCCGACTGCATCAGTTCATACCAAAACCTCAGGAGAGGAGCACCAGGGTGGGTGAGATGATTACCTTGAGCAAAAAGGTGGACTGAGGTAGGAACTCAACGTTCAAATGACTCATCCACACCGGTGGTCATTCCCTTTTAGGGCTTAGATGAAGAAAATTTTTCTTGTCTAGGAAACGTTTGTGGAACCCATTCACGGGTTCACGAAAAATTTTTCTGCCCTCCAGCGTCCAATGTTGAGAGAAAGCAGTACCTCTCATTCCAATTACATTCCCACAGTAAATTCAAAAGCAAATAAGGAACCTGTAGTGAAGCAAATAAAGAACCTGTAGTGGAGGTGTAGAATCGTCCTCCGCCATTTCGATATCAGTTGATTGCGATGTCTCTACAATTTGGGACGCTGTTTGCTTCCGTGATTTCCTGGTAGCTCGAGACATTCTAGAATAGCTAATCTTTTTCCAGTCGAGGAAGCAACAAAAAAAAAACATGAAAAAATAACGAAATGACCCGCCAAATGCAATTTGTACAAGAACTGTTTCGCGCGTGATTCATACTGTGTCGTATTTGCAGATTCAAGGATGACGCCTAAATCCGTACAGCTCGCAATCCGTGCTTCTAAGCTACCAGTACTTAGGGGATATGTTGCGCTTGCGTGCCCGGTTTTCGACGAATCTATTCCGCCAACTATCTACGGAAGCGGCCCAGGAGGATAAAACCCCCAGAGTTGTCATTCCTCCTGCTATTAAGGTTGGTTTATTGCGGTTTCTTTTACGTGAGTATGTAGCATAGCATATCAAGAGTGAAAACGAGAGCAGTAATGTGAATAGTAAGTACTAGTGTCCGGTCCTTGACGGGCCTACATCCTCGCATGAGGGAATGGGTGTGAATTGACCCCTTTATATCCGTGTGTTTGCCGAAAATTCGTGATATCCTTCATCAAACTTGCAAGAACCATCGGTTTCAATTTACAAATAATGAATGACTTCACTTTGATTTTACCAAAGTGAGTCTTCATTTGTCTAGGAAATCACCAAACTGTAATACTGTAGAGCTTACAGTAGTGGTTTATCGTTCAAAGAGTGGGGTGATGTGTAAGGGTTGTGTCTGTAATCTTTACCCATTGACGACCGCGTGGCCCGCCGGCGGGCGACACCATATCGTGCTCCTGCAGTATTTATTTTATTTATCAATTATTCTTTTAATTTTTTTAATGTGTTCAAGTATCAGCTGAGCTCACAACCCTCTAGAGAATCTTGAGGAGGAACCATTCATTTCCAACAACAGTTGTAGGAGAATAAAAGTTAGTGTAAGGACAGTATAAAGGGCACGGTCGTCAATGGGTTAATACAGCTTAAATGCAGCCATTTTAAAGCGCTTATCGTTTGCTCCCGAAACTCCATCCATTGGATTTCAGGTTTTTAGTCACACCCTAGAAAAGGCAACAAGGAGCCACCTTCGTTGGGTTCATATAAGATGATAGAAGAGCTTTTAGACTCGGTATAAATAGAATTAGAATATACATCCTATAGAGAAAGGAAAGCAGTGTTAAAAGGCAATGTATAAGAGAAGAGATTTTGCAAGAAGCTTGCAGGCGCGAGTGTCATGTGCTGCGTCTACACAAATCAAAACTAGCATGCATTGTTGTAGCTCAGTTCTCTGTAAAGAAGCATGATGTGATAGAATAGAAGGTTGTGATTGATACGCAAGGTGGTTCAGTGTGGCGGATATTCCCCTGAACGAGAAACCTTTTAGACGATGTTTTTAAGCGTGGACCAACCGATATGCTCCGGGCCCTATCGGAAACGGTAGGTGTCGATCCAACCGCACCTCATTTTGCATTCATTGACGATCCTGCCATGATACCTAGCACAGCATCGGCTAAGCGGACTTACTATATGGCCAAGGTATCGTTTATGGTATAAGCTACATAGTCTGAATGGATATCAAACAGATTTTGCATGATCTGCAGGAAATGGGCAAACGTGCCGCACGTCAGCTAGCAGAAGAATGGCCTACTCTTTTTGCACTCGATCGCGATGATCCATATCTGCCGGCATTTCGACCTCAGAAACCAGCTGATCCCCTGCAGGTGAAAATAACTTTATATAATAGAATCTGGTTTTCTTCTCCAACGACAGCACGTTGAATAGGTTGCCCCAACGGAGGAGAATCTTCTGTCGATGATCGAGAAACGAGAAGTCGAAGATGCTGTCAGGTTGTACGAAAGGATGAGAGCGGAGAACATCGACGTTTCACAAGAAACCCAAGTAAGTAATTTTCAAGGTTAACCATGATTTGCCGAACCATGTTAGGCTAATTTCGGTATTCACACTTTAATTCTTGCTGATTTTAGTTCAATAGTATTAATCTGGCTTACAAACACATATATTCTTACATATGAATTGCATAGTTGTCAAATAAATAGACATGTCAGTCGTTTTTTTCGACACTTTCCCAAGGTTTACATTAAGGTGGAGCTGTTCAAATTTGTAACTTACTATAATGGCAAGAATGTGCCGTTTTCCGAGTGGGAGGAATGGCATGGCATGCGCGCTTTCGGCGAGAACGAACCGAATAAATGGACTTCGGTAAAGATATTTTTGGATATCCTTATGATTACTCTTCAAACCTCATGATGAGCTTGATATTCATGTGAATCATTTCCTTCACAGTGGTGCCGTCACCCAGGAAGGAAACCTTGCCCTAGTTCTTTTTCCAAGTTGTTAGTGTTCTTTAGGTCGTGATCATTTTATCATTGAGAGCGGTAGCTTTCTTTCGTCTTTGCCCTTTTGTGTGTTCAATTTGAGTTCGCATCGAAACTCGGTAAAAAGTCTTCTAGCCTTACCATGTTACTCTCGCATTTTTCGTTTCTTTTACCAAATTTTATTTGCTAATTGTTATTTAGTGAGTTGATATTTCGTAAGCTCTTCAGGCAGGCTTGGCAGACTTGCTGTTCGAAGTGCTACCTCATACTCCTGAAATCGTCTCTACTTACATTGCTGGCCTAATCAAGTATGTTGCTCTTACCTGTGCCTAAACATTCTTATCATCCGATACTTATCCTTCCGTTTATGTATGAGAAAAAGAGTAGTAATGGTGTCGAACCCTTCGCTACAGAATAGATCTTAAATAAATCCAGAGCTAAAACTTCTCTTTTTCCGTTGCTGACGCTCATGATTTATCTCCTACTCTGCAACACAAACATTTCAGATTCGCCACTTCCGAAAGTGTTGCGAGAGCGAATGAACTACATAAGGTTGGTGTCATGGAAGTTCCTGTTTTTGAATAATCCAAAAGAAAGGTTTGTTTCAGGAGTTTGCATCCAAAGGGGTTCTATGTCGCGAAGCGTACGATGCTCTAATATCCGCAGCAAACTGGAAGGATGNTTTATCTCCTACTCTGCAACACAAACATTTCAGATTCGCCACTTCCGAAAGTGTTGCGAGAGCGAATGAACTACATAAGGTTGGTGTCATGGAAGTTCTTGGTTTAGTAATTAGAAAAAAAGCTTTGTTTCAGGAGTTTGCATCCAAAGGGGTTCTATGTCGCGAAGCGTACGATGCTCTAATATCCGCAGCAAACTGGAAGGATGCAAAGGCTTTACTGAAAGAAATGGCTGAGAAGAAGGTGAAACCAGTTGCAAGTACATGGAATGCTCTGCTCCAATCAGCTAAGCAGGTTGGACGTCTTCGCTTTCTTCGAGTTCTATGTGAAAGCTCTCTCTCCCCTTTAGATGAATGGTTTGCAAGAACGATTGTCTGCATTTGAAAACGTCATTGGCGAGATGGTTGCTCTAAAAATTCAGCCATCTCTTGAAACATATCGAATTATTCTGAACAGCATAGAAGATTCTATACCTGAGAGTACCTCAAAGGATGCGGAAAAGAAGGCGGATACAGTTCTGGTCTGTTATGCTCCTTTGTAGGTGTTCATCTTTGTCTTTAGATGAGAGCTTCTTGAATGTACTAATATTACCATGCGCCAACGTTTTCCCTTTGCAGAGCGTAGGGATTTCATGGCTTTCTGAGATGCTTTCCGATTTGGAAAGTCGTCCATCTCTCGAACTTTGCTCAACTAAAGATCATTTATTCTTTCTCGACGCTATGGGAATTGCATACCAGTGCGTGAACTTAGAAACACCTATTGCTCATTACTAGATAATTCCTAAGTCATTGGTTTACGTGGTAAAATCTTGTCAGGGCTGGAAACATGGAAATAGCCGAGCGTCTAGTGAAACTGTACGAGAGTCCAGTGAACAAGGTCAAGTTACCAGCACTCCCAACGGAAGGAATGTGAGTTATTCGTAATCGGAATGTATTTAAAGAGGAAACAGAGTGGAATATAAAACATCCTAATATTTACGGGCACAGCAATTAAAACACATTCATTACAAGACTATAGAAAACAACGAAAAAAGTTGTTGAAGAACAAGCAGAAAGTAAGCTGTCTAGATCCCGTCACGAATACAACGGGTTGGCCATCCTCTAGTTCATTAAGGAATATCAGAGCAGATATCATCTTCTGATGGAGTACTGTTATCTAGTTCAGAACGGGAAAATCTTTATTTTACTGAAAAAGGCCGCCGTTGAAGAAGATTTTCAAGTATTGACCTCTCGTTGAAAAAAAGGTTTACTTGAAAATTATTAGCTTGAAGATCTGTTTAACAATTTCTTTCTCAAGGTTAGGTAAGACAAGGTTTTGCATTGCATTGTAAACATTGCTGCCCGAAATGCTGTTACAGGAAGAATCGCGTGCATCAAATGTTTTGCACTGTGTAGGCCTGACATGAGTTGTAACCCGGAAAGGGATTTTCAGAGCATATTAGCAAAAATAAAAGAACTGGTAATTCACCATTTTTGCTACATAACAGAGAATAGAGTGTCTTCAAAAGAGAGTTGTTCTGATTGTTAATGACTCTTTCGAAGATCTTTATATGGTAGGCCAACATCTCTTGACCCTCGTTCTCACCAGTGCAAGTAAAAGTCGTACATACCTAGATGACAAGGATCCACTCTTTCTTATTCGGGAGTTGCAATGGACCCATTGGCCCATTGGTGAAATAGAACACATTCCTTTTTCTTCATCTTTCATTTCGTTAACTTTCAGAGTGTTGTTCCATTATTGTTCCAAGGTAAAATTATTGAAATCTAGAACCTTTTTTCCACAAATCAAATGAATTTGAAAAACTATACAGCAGTGTTGCTATCACAGAGAATAAGTACGTTATGATTTCAGATTTTACAATCGCTACCTTCTCCTTTTCATTGAGCGAACAACTTCAATAGAGGAAATCGAGAAAAAGTACAAGGAACTAGTTCCCCGCCTTGTTGGAGTGGGTCGACAGCTATCCTTAGCAGTGGCTGAGAAGTTGAAGGTAACACTAGGATGACTGGATTGTTGAATTTGAGATCTGCGTGAAGCTAAAAAGATATGATGTTACCGAAAAATCAAGTTCACTTTGTCCTCTTCAGTTTTCAGACTTCGCAGAATAAGAGAACTGTGTCGATTTTTCAGTGCATAGTGCTGTCGTATTAATCCAAGAACTTATTTCTAAAACCTTTTTTGTCTTTAGAGTTTGCTTTTTCTTAATCCTAGCTTTTTTTACTATTATACTTCCATGAAAAATAAGATTTGTTGTACATGCCTACCAACCTGATGGCATGTTCGATTTGTGGCCTAGTACCACCACCTAAATTGCGTGTATTCTCCTGACTCTCTGATACACTCCTGTCGTTCAATCTTCATCCCATTCTTTCAAAGATCTGAAGCCTATCTAGCAAAGTATTTTTTGAGTTCTATTTGATTTTGTTGAGAGAAGTTTTAAGCATTCTCCTCGCTGGACTCTTTTGCGTCGATTGATCGAAGATGGCATTTGTGCTCGCCAGTTGGTCGACTTTCGTATAGCTCCAATCCTCAGGAACCTTCTCATCGATGTTCACTACCAGGTATTTGTGAGGTACACCCCCATTCTGAGGTCGCCATCTTGCCCTTTTGTTATAGGCACTTTCGGTAGAACATCGTCAAGAATATGCTGACCTGATTCGTCGAATCGTTGACATTTCCGTGGAGTTCAGTCGTTTCACAGATGAGAGGCAAAAGAGGCTGCAGTTCAAGCTATCGCC